AAGCTTGGGAAATCCTCTTACATCTCTTATGTCACATAAAGGATCTAACATTTGTACTAGTACTAAATTTTAAACAAGGTCATTATGAGGATATAAAGATATGTGCTAAATGCATAGGCAGGAATTCAGTGATTCATGTAGAAATTTACCATAATACATTGTACCATATGTATGTAGCCGGTCCGTCATTTAAACAACCATAGTAATTATGGAATTTCAAGCAGATATTACTAATAAGTGGACATGATCATGGAGCATAATTTTATCACGGATTAGACACTGTCTGTTGATTTTAACTAGCACGTCGGCATAGAAACCATTTAAGTCAAAAGTGGACTAACGGATTCTAGTGTTCTATTTCCAGTTTTTAAATAATTGCAAAATATTTAAATAATTTATAATTTTTTTAATAATTGCACAATTTTTATTTTAACAGTAAAACGTTTTCAATATCTTCTTTGAAAAATTTTTCTTTAAGATTCTTCAGTCATTGGTCTCTATTGGATTGATGATGTCAAAAACGAAGAAACCCTATCAATAATTCCTACAAACCGCTAAATAAAAAGGTATATTATTAAAATGATGCTTGCAGTTTGTTCCACATACTTATAAAATGCTCTGGATACAATTTTTTTTACCGAAATAACTAATATATAACCGCTAAATAAATGTAACGCATCGCCTCGTTTTGATTGAAAATTAGCTGTGTAATTTCGTGTTAAATATAATCGAATATCTACTTTACGTATTAAGTATCGCAATAAGCATAGTATCCAAAGCACTATCACACTTCTATAATTGTATCACATATAATGTGGACATACTCATGTACATACATTCAGGAATAAAAAGCAAAACAAAACATGTTTATTATAAAATATGTTTTATGTTTATCTGTAGACATTATAGTTGTTATTGCTTTTACTTAAAGAATACTGGTAATTATAAACGAATACATTGGATGCATTGAAAGTTGTTAAAATGACATTTTAGTATAATTATAATATTATAGAAGAGACAGTTTAAATATATGGTTTTTGGAAATCCTACATAAACCTCAGTAATATATAAACCTCAGTAAATATAAACAAAATATTCGAATAATATGTACATAAGAATTGCTTTGATACGTGCCTTTGTTCAAAATCCTTGGTCTACCCTTTTGTGTATATAATTTACATAATTACTAGAGAAAGTTAAAAATATTTAAGAAAGTTGAAATATTATAATATTTACAATATCGCGAAACCATTGCCTAATATTTTAATAACATTTGTTAGATTTCCTTTGGATGCGGAAATATTGCAAAAATTAAGGCACGGAAATCAAGCGCTTGGTAACAAAAAGAAAAATGTTGGTTTAAAAGATCTAGGTTTTATTAACTAATTTACTAGTTAAGTATATAAAATAATGGTTAAATATATAAATGAATTACATATAAATTAGATAGGCGGAGAAATACACATATACATGCATTCTACTGTCATATTTACGTGAAGAAATTAATTACATTCTTCATATAAAAATATATTTTTTATTTTAAACTATATGACGAAATCTTGGTTTTATTTTAAAATAAAAATGCAATCTATCATTAATATTTTCATTCGTTGTCAACATTAATAAATAAATGCTGAATATTTTTATGAAGTAACACACACGCTTGCTGAACAATAGTTATGTTACGGGAGAACACACTGATTGTGATGAAATACGCAATGTTTAATACGATTTTTACTCTAGAAGTTCTTCCATATATATTTTAATCACTAGATAAAACTCGAGAAAGATTCCGCTTTGGAAAGAATACACTTAATAGTATAACGCATTTCTAAAGCATTTCCCATTTAGAATATAAAATTTAATGAAATAAATTTATTTGGAAAACTCTCTTTGTCTAATATTACATCTATCGTAGGATATTTTTGAATAATTTTATAGAATAATTTATAAAAGAATCATATTTAATAGTGAATATCTAGTGGTATATGATTCATCAGAATTATAACTGAAAGCATATACTTACAAAAATATGTAG